GAATTACGGCTTATGTTATGCGGTTTGCCAACAATATAAAACGAAATTCAGTGAAAGTCAAAGGTCCATTAAGCTCTGTTGAGATTTCACGAGCTGAGTTCTATTGGGTAAATGTTACACAGCGAAAATACTTTGCGAAAGAGATTCTAGATCTATCAAGTGGAAAATGCTTAGAAAAGACATCGTCGATTTATTTACTTAACCCAGAATTGGATACCCATGGTCTTCTGCGTTTAAAGGGCAGACTTCAATTCTCAGACTTTGCTTTCGAAGAAAAACACCCATGGCTGTTACCTTATAAAGATAGATACAGTGAACTACTAAATTTTGAGTCTCATAACAAATTGTTTCATGCTGGAGTCGAAGCTACCTTAGCCGATATTAGAGAAAAGTTTTGGATCATAAAGGACGCCAATTCGTCAAGTCCACGTTTAAGTAAGTGCTTTTTGTGTAAACGGTACAAGGTGCGTGCCGGTACACAGGAAACCGCTCCTTTACCACCTGATCGTGTTCTTCAATCATCTCCATTTCTGTAACAGGGCTGGATTATGCTGGTCCCTTTTTTACAAAGGACAGCAAGAATAAACATTATCTGCTTTTGTTTACATGTGCTACAACAACTCGAGCTTTACATCTAGAACTTGTCCCTTCTATGAGTGTGGAGAATTTCATGCTTGCGTTTCGCAGGTTTATTTCTCGTCGTGGATTGGCTCAACGATATATTTGACAATGCCAAGACATTCAAATGTGCTGATCTCGAGTTGCGAAAAATTTGGGAAGTGTATTCAACATCCATCTGTACAAAATTTTGTTTTTTCCCACGGTATAACATGGAAGTTAGTTTATTGTGGAAAAAGGAGCATGGTGGGGAGGGTTCTGGGAAAGGCATTTTAGGAACGATCAAAACTTGTTTAAGGAAAATAGTTGGACGTTCTAGTCTCTGTTTGAATGAGCTAGAAACAGTCTTCGTAGAAATCGAAGCCATAATTAATTCAAGACCCATAACGTATGTGTACAATGACCCTTCAGAACCCTCACCGCTAACTCCTGCTCATTTCTTAATTGGTAAACGTTTACTTTCTCTTCCAGTTACAAGAGTGTGAAGATAAGACTTGATTGGGTCTAGACATTCCTTGATCAAAAGGTATAAACATCAACAAACCTTGTTAAACCACTTTTGGAATAGGTGGAGGAAGGATTACTTGCTTTCTTTAAGATCTGTGAATTTATATCCACCTACTAAAGTGTCTGGTCAGTTTAATGTTAATGACGTAGTCCTTGTACATGACGACCGTTTACCTAGGAATTTGTGGACCACTAGGTAAGATAATAGAAACTTATCCTGGCAGAGATGGTCAGGTTCGCTCGTGTCTCATTAAAACTCAAACAGGTAATCTAAAGAGACCAGTACAATTGCTGTACAACCTTGAAGTGCATAATTAGTAGTAAGATTACAGTGTAATAATCTGATTTAATGTTTGCACATATATCTTCTGATATCTTATTGATTGTTGCTAAATTAGTTTAGTTTATATAATTCCCTCGAATTTTTTTAGTATATAATGTTTCTTATTTAGTAATTACTTTATAAGTTGATTTTTAACGTGTTTAAACATTACTTAATTGTTATTTGTAATTTGAGTAGTTTATAGAGTATTCAAATGTTGTGTTTGATTTAGAAATACTGGTTTATTTTGTTTTCGGTTTGTGTGAACTTAGAGTTCACAGGTGGGGAGTGTTGTAAAGAGAGGAAGTAGAGGGCGCTGCTTGGCAGTAGCGCAACGCATGTAAGTAGAAACGAAATGTCGTTTGATTAGGCAACATGATTTCTGTGAAGGTAGTCCACCTAACAATAGGACAGTTGTAAATATGTAAATATAACGAATAATAAATAACATTAGAAAAATTGAACCATCGGATGTTTAGTGATTGCTCTACGGGCCGCCACGGAAAAGTGCAGGTTCGTCACATTCCTTGCAGCGCGCCACGAAATAGCAGCGAAAAGTCATTTAAGACTTTATGCACTCGCGCTAAGCGATGAAAATTATTTATCAAAGCTGCCGTATAAAAGCTTGCTTTTACAAGACTCATTTTCTCATACAATTCCAAGATACATATATTATAGGAACGTTCATGAAGATATACTATATTTGAAATAAGAATCACTAATTTCGTGGATTGTTAAATATGTGGGTGAGTCAAAAACCACTGTTTTCAAATGTGAGCATATAAAATACGCAAAAGCAAACCACTGCTGTAGTGGTGTCACCATGGTCTACTATAGTTTAGCTGAGATGGAGCCTTGATTCGTAAAACATTTTATTACCTAAGTGAAATGTCAATAAGGAAAATTACCGATACTGGGTTTCAGAAAATCCACAAAACCATTAGAACCATCTTCGGAATGCTAAAGTTACTATATGGTATAAAAACCTTGCCATGGATAATAAGATACCAAACTCTAATTAGACTCTAATCACAGTGTGTCTAATATGCTCCGAAAAATTTAATTTAACTGTCCATTATAACCACGAGGTATTTTGCCCTGCTCCTTCCATTTAGTTTTGTTACCTAAATATAAATCAGGTCCGACATGTTTCGAAGTAAAAAAACTAATATATAATTTTTGAATTATTGATGATTGTTCGTGGCTCAGGATTGAATAATCTTCAAAGAACTATTCATATTACTCTCAAGCTGCTGTTTCTGTCTTTGATAGTTTCAAGTTTCCCTCCATATCACGAAGTCATCAGTAAACATACTCACTTGGATATTCCCAACCTCTTTCAATCTCTTCTTGAGATTATTGACATACATGTTGAAGCGCATGGGGCTACTCACTGAACCCTGTGAAAGGCCGATATTAGACTGTCTGTATTTGTACTCTAGTATATTGTTTCAACTAGTCTTAACCCATCTCTGAGTTACAAATCTTCCAATCTAGTCCAGTATTTTTCCTTCTTTTTTCCTTGTTCTCCTAATTTGCTTAGGAGACTTTTTTTTCTCCTTTAAACAGTATCATAGGCTTCCTGGAAATCCACAAATGCTGTTGAGAAGCGTTTTTTAGAATTGAAGCCCAATTTTTGGCATGAAAACATTTCATGATAGAGTTAAAGGTGGAGACACCATTTCTAAAACTAACCTGCTCATTCTGTATCATTTCATTAGTTTCCAGAAAAAATTTCAATTTAGTAGTCAACATTCGTTCAAACGTTTTGCCAAGTCTGAAGTCAGAGATATAGGTTTTTACGCCTCTATTGGTTATCTTTTTTATGATACCCATAGACTTGACCCAATCAGTTGGGATATTAATTTTACTATTCCAAAATGTATTGTAGATTGTCAAAAGGGTATTTTAGGTCTTAGGTCTCAGATATTTTAAAAACTCTGGAAAGATAGTCTGAACGCGGTTGTCTCTTCACCTTTAATTTTTTATATCCCCTTTTAATTCATCTATTGAAAAGTTATTAAAGATTCTCTTTTTGGCTACAGTTAGGGCATTAGTCGCTCTTCTGACACTTCATTGCGCCATCTCTGTGGTCTGTGGGTAGAAATATTTAAGAAGAGTATATTGAATTTCTCTGCTATGCCTCTAAAATCTGTTAGCCCCATGTCTTCAACCCTCATAGGGTGATTTAATTTAACTCTTTTCCTATTGCTTAATGTATTCAAAAGTTTATAAGCTCTTTTCTCCCTCTGTTCTCTTATTCATTCTATTTAGATACTCATTCCAAGATTGTCTTTTAGTCTCATTAAATTTTCGTTTCATTAATGCGAACTCCTTTCTCCATCTAATAACAGTCTGCCTCTGAGGTCTTCTCCTCCGTCATGTCTGCTTCCACTCTGGCCTTATCTCTCGTTTCGCTTTGTATGGAGAGCTCAACATTCCAAAAAAATTTTAATTTGAAAGAACATCCTCGTGGGATGTTCCTTTTTGCACATTTTAGTAAGATTACCATTACCTGGGTCACCTAGCACAAATGCCTTCCAGTTATCAATAATATTTGAAGTAATCATAGCCAGGTCTGCTTTTATCAAATTCCCACTACAGTACATAAAAGTCTTAGGATCATTTTCATTATATAATATGAACTGTCAATTTGAATCCGCATAATCCTTCACTATTTCTGCGACACTGTTATAGTAAGCATAAGCCCAGCTGGAGGAAGCGTCGCTAAAGTCATCCACGATAACAGAGTTCCTCAAAAGCGTCAGTGTGTCCAAATTTAAAATTTTGTTATTTGTCATATTAATTTGTGCTTTATCTTTTTAAAGGGAAATAGCCATTATCTTTGCATAAGTATGGTCGTTCATCTATTTTACAATTTTAAAAGACGATGCCAAATTTTGCTTAATCGCAATAAGTATACCACTGGCTGTTTGTCTTTTCTCATAAAGTTCGTATACTTTATAGTTTTTAATGTCATAATATTTTGTTCCGCGATGTTAGCGCCTTGAACAACCAGCGCATCCACGTCCTTCTTCACAACAATCTTCTTTAATTCAGAGAAATATAGTTCCTGAAGGGCCACCTGCATTCCATTGAAGACCCATAAATAAGGTAAACGATTCACGTCGCTGAAACAACATTCGATAGCGAGCAGCCATAGCTTCTGTTATTCATTTAGCACCACCCAGGAGGCATATGTGACTTTAGGAATGTCACGAGTAACGTTACCCTCTCCATTATTGTGTTAAAAGCTAGTATATGCAGCTAATTTTTGAGACTATGCTTCAGTGTGCAATAAAATTCTTGCCATTTTTAGATGGTAGTAATGTAATAAGATATACCTTAGTAAATTCAGACCTTATGTAATATACAAGAAAACGCATACTTTTCTCTGGCATTCTTATTTCTTTCCAAAAACCGTCATTTATGTCTGACTCGCCATATAAGTATCATTTTATTTTCTGTAATTATTGTATATTTGTATCAAGAAAATAAACATGTACTTAATACATATTTATAACAGTAGCTTTTCACTCAAATGTGTTTTCAGATAGCAGCTCTATGCCTACTTATAAGGCACATCAACTTTGGACAAACGTATTCAAACTCATTATCAGTATATTGGATTCTCCAGTCTATTGCAGTATTACCTTTTCATGCTGCCTTAGCTGTTGAAGAGTATTATCAGGTAATTTGTTTAATATGTTCCAGGTTTTTTTTTGCTTATTACACAACTTTTATCCAAATTTACAAATTTAAGAACGCTCATAGCACTTAAATATAGTTAGCTCTGAAGTTGTAACTGAAGCAGTTAAAATTTTTCATAATTGAATATTATTTAATGTGATGGATAATAATTTGAACCTTTTGATAGCTATTTTGCGTGCTTGTGTTTAGTAAGTATTATGCATTTATATTTAATAACTTTTCCTATTTATACACTTTGTTTGAAAAAGGTTGTTACACTCTTTCCTAAAGAATGTGGCCACTTTCTGTAGATTCTAGGTATGAGTTTCCAAAGATTAGGATTATTATATAGATTCTACGTTAATATCCAAATTTCTGGAAATAAGGGGGGGGAATTTACGAAAATGCTTAAAAAATGTGGGTAAGAGGATTGTATAACATACGTTTTACATAGCCACGTATAGCAAATAGTAAATGTAACAATAACTTAAATACAAAATTGGCTTCTTACATTAACATGTAAAATTCGCGACGCTATTAGTAATTAATGTCCTCTTCGGTCAAGTTACAAATCTAAAAATAGTGCTATTGATCCAGTGGAGTGTTTTCAACATGTGCAATGGGAATACGAGCCAGTTCACCTTAAAAAGTCCTCCTTTTAGGCAGATGCACTCATGTGCTTTGCCATATTCGAGTAACATATCCTGATACAATGCAGCCTTTTACAGTTATATAGTCCAGCAACACTTTCTCTGTACTTGTTGCTTGCATTGCTTCTGAATTCTTATAATTGTTCTGGTATGTTGGAAATATTAAACCTGTGACCTCATTCCCGATTACTTCCGCGAATTTTCCTCATAAAATAATTTAATGAATAAAGACTTTTGTACTTAACATTTTATATTTAACTTAATAAATTATAATGAACATATGAACTAAAATTTTGCTCTACATGTACAGTAGAAATAGATTTTATATCCGCGAAGTCCTCTTACCACAGTACTGAAAATACTATCTTTAAATTCTCTATCTTAGCTTGAGAAAGTCTGTAACTGGAAGTACATGTTTAAGATCAATATTTAGGGAATCAAACCTATAACTGTAACGAACTTTGGCAAATAGTCTGTATTGTCTGTTTACATTACCGGTTTGGGCGTGTAGGAAAGAAAGCTTAATTCATTTGCTTAAAAAGGGTAATCAAGTTTGCCGAGATACATCACTTTATTTAGCATTTCGGTAAGATTTTACCGCAGTCTCTTTTTATTTCAGTCTTTAAATGCTCAGTGTGCACAAGCGAACCCCTCTCCCTCCAACAAAAGATAAGTCACAATGTTTCCCGTTTCTAATAAATTATAAAGAATATAAGTATTGACACAGTAGAAAGAAGAAATCATACAAACATTCCTTTTCCCTCTAAAATGGAAACTGAACATTAATGGAACACCGTTGATGTCTACGAGTGATGAGTGGACTCTATAATATTATTCACTTCTTCTTACTGGGCATTTGATAAATTTGTTTAGGTCAAAGCTGAACAATCAGAATAGTTAAGCCTAACAACTCAAAACAGAAAATGATTCGTTTGGTTTCCTATCATAATTGTTTGATATTTAGTCAATATTTTCGTAATTATTTTTAATTTTTGGTAATAACGTAGTGAATTAGAGTTTGCGTATGTTTTTAAAATATGCCGCGTAAGATATATAGTACGAATAGCTGAGCAACGTGCTGTTCAGGGAAGCAAGTATTCCGATTGGCTACTGAGCTGTATTGTGAAACTTGAGAACTTTGGAATGTCATACCTGTATTTCCAGTGACTACTGGGCACGACTGTCATTCGCTAGCGAAGGTTGTCCAACAAAGCCGAGCAGTATTTTAGTTAAAACTTAACAAACAAAATGCTTTTTTAATGCTTAAGGGTGCATTCAACAACAGCGGATAAATTAATTTTTACCTGAGTAACAAAGTGCTCACTTATAACTTGAATATATCGTAGTATAGAAAATATGTATGACATTATGATTACGTAGTACACTTCATAAATTACATTTATGAAACGCACTAATACAACTACAATAGTGTACACTATTTCACAGAAAGTGTTTCTTTCAATCATTATGTTAATGATTATTTCCATGTAGGCAAGGTATTTAACGAATTTATATGTAATCTGTTACTAAAATTATTTTTGTCTTTACTGTGCACTAATAATGCTTTCTGTATCGAAACAACAATGCATGGTCGTATCACCATTGGCGTGAGTTCCTCTTCAGCTTTCTTATGTATTTCAAATTGGGAAAATTTGGAAACCTGTGACTGGCTCCAGTTCCGGAATTAAAGAAACACAATTTATATTCATTTTGAGTAGAGTTTTATTTAACCACTATGGGCTTCACAATCAAGCTACAAAACTATATTTACTGAGTGTTGGAAAGGGAATGATACAATTGACCATGGCACTTCTTTCAATACATCTCGATTCCCAAACATGCCCCCAGGATTTAGTAATGTCTATCTAGAGTCATTGTTCCAAACACGTTCTTCGCTGCTATTATTCAACTCTACAATTTAAGCACGATGTGATTTTAAGTAACGTGACATTGACGGGTGATGATACTGTGTTTTTGTTTGTTCATAATTTGAAGAAATTATTAAAGTTAGTTTTAGATATTAGAGCTCTTAAGCTAAGAGATTTAATTTAGAAAAAGCTTTTAAGCTAGCTTTTTCTAAATTAAACCTGAAAATGCTATATTTGATTTCAGCCTTTCGCGCGAATAGAGACTGCTTGTAACAGCATCGAACTATGTCACTTTGAAAGTCTTAAAATCACGTTCGTAAAAAAAAGTGGGGAGAAAAGTATAGGCAGTTGCCTATACTTAGACATGTTACTTTACCGAGGAAATGGTTGAAAATTTAAGCGAAGTATAATGGAGTGAGAAAGCAATAAAAATCAAAGGTAAAGAAACTGCCAGTTTTTTAATATGCCTTTGAGAGACAAAACGGAACCCAGCAAAATGTAGGTCAAAATCAACGTTTAATTAATACTTTGTATTCATACTTTTTGTATTTGACTGCTTGTAATCTATTCTTCTTTGATGAAACCCAAGCCTTGGTTGTATCATTGGATATCTTTTTGCCATTCTTACAGGAGTATACGCTTAACCTTGCCAGTGTTATGGACATAAAATTCCGTGTGGAAGGGTGGCCTTTCGTATTCATTACACATGAAAATTTCGCCTGTTTTCAATGTATTCGATTTCAGATTGGATGTATATTGAAAGACAAGGAATCAAGGTACAATGTGAGAGTCCATTTTTAATTATAATCAGGAAAATGTCATTTATTCATGGCATTTTTAGGAACTTAAATTCCAGGGCTAAACCCGTAATGCTCGGAAGGAACTTCCTCTTTAGACGACATTTTGTGTTCCCTGACAACTAGGTCCAGTTGGTGCCATCAATTTTCAGCTAGGTTAACGTCCGACTGAAGTGGTATTATCAGCTGGCGAGGTGTATTATAGAATAACCATTTCCCTGTTTTATTTTCTGTATACTTGGGGTCATTGCCCTGCTGAATCAAAACGTTTCCAAGCCAAAAGTTTGAGCACTTGCCTTTAAATTACAGCGCAGTATGTGGATGTACTTAAGTTGTGCAATTTTGCGTTCAATGAAGTACAGGCTTCCAACTCCATTAGCTGACATACAGCCCCAAACCAAGATTCCCCCTCCTCCATGTTTCACAGTAGGTGTTGAATTTCGTGTTTCTAGTTCAGTGCTTGGTTTTCTCCATACATATCGCCTTCCATCACTCTAAAAAATGTTGAATTTCGATTCATCCGAGAATATGACTTTATTCCAAATTTCTACTGACTGACTGACATAAGCTTTTGCAAATTCTAGTCTCTTTCTGTTTCTTTGTCGCTACTCTTCCGTAACAATCATTTTCATGTAAAACACTACACATTATCTGTACACTAGATGATGACATACTTGCTACTTACAGGGCTAACTGGGGTGGACCTATTTTGGGATTTTTTCTGATTTTTCTCGTAATTTCAAGTTTTTCCTTTTGGAAAATATTCGACGCAATCTGGTTCTAACGTTCTCTGTTGAACCTGGTTCGTTCAGTTGCTTTCCAATAGCACGATATGTTAAGCCCTTATTTCTAATATGAACAATAGTATTTTTAACTCTGACGACTAAATCTTTTGATTTCGAAGACATTTTTGCATAGTATCAAAAAAGATATAAATGTTTTGAAGTAATACTGCTGACTTTATACTAACAACGATCTGTCTTTTCAGTTCAAAGTCATCTATCTCATTGCTCACTAGTTAATAATAAATAAATAGCTTATTGAAAACTAACACATGCTAGTAATTTACGGAATGTATTTTACTTTGCTATTGAGATGAAGTACCGCAACATTTTAACTGTCAATAACTAATATTTGAATATTTTGTCACCTAATAATAGACGGCATATTTAATACCTGTCTTCTGAGCAAACGCATTTTAATAAACATTTAAAACTGTGGGATCTTTAAAGAAAACTTTATAATAGTCCTTAATAATAGCTTAGATTATATGAATCTGCAAAGCCACAAGGACTATCTGTCTAAGAAGAGGAATGCTTTCGTGGAGGACTTTGAGGGAAACTGTCTCGTATTCACGCTACATATGTAGGAAACGAATCATGCAGAAAATCCCTTTGCCTGGTTTCGAACCCAAAGCAGGTCGAGCTACCAGTATTTAGCGGTCTTAACCATTCGTGGTGGAGCATTCTTGATAATAAAAAGGTTGTCAAGATAGCTGTCAATTTTCCTGATCACTTTGGCAATGCAATTATTTGCAATATGGGATTCATTTCTTGTACAGCAGTTTCTTCAATGCCCTCAGCCCACCAGCCGTACGCGGAACACTGATAGTTCAGCCCTGTTTCGCATCCCGGCGAACAGACTGTGGCTACATAGCAGTTTCCGTGCTTTTCCCATGTATAATGTGAATCTGAGCCAGTTTCCCGTAAGTGCCCCATGAAGGCATCCGTTCTATTCTTAAGCAGTTAGCTCTGGTTTGCTTTGTTGTATTCAAGTACTCTAAGAAGTTGCTTGTTAGATGTGCTGATTGCTGCACCACAAACGTAGGGAATGTCTTTAATTTTTTGAATTTTTATTGTGAAAAAGCAGGTTAAGTTAATTAAAAATAATCTTTGATAGCATAATTCGCTGTTATTATTCCCATTGAGATAAACTTTGATAGCATTATTCGCTGTTATTATTCCCATTGAGATAAACTTTGAGAATAATTAATGGCAGACTATTCTTTTTATTTTATTTATTAACAATTTTCTGCGACCCACAGAGAAAAGTACATTTGTTGGCATGTAGGTAAATACAACTTTATTTCTTACTGCAACTGCGACCGAACCGTAAAGTAGCTGAACACTGGTAGTACTGCACTGGTAGTGGCTGCAGGGACGCTTTCGGGACTTTACACATGTGTAATATGAATAAGAACCAGTTTCTCTCGAGTCCTCAACGAAGAAATCCTTTTCCACAGGCTGATAACTCTCGATTTGCTTTGGCAACCTAACCGAACACCAGTGCCCTGAAATTGTCTTCAGGGTCTACAAAGAACCATTCAAACCAGATGCAGTTGACATTTATTCCAAGGAATGGATATCTTTTGGAGATTTTATCACAGTAGTTTTAGGTTTTAATTAAATTATGCCCAAAGGATTATAAATCTCCTTTATTTGAAAATGCTTTAATCGATTAGATTTATTTTTAAATGTTTTCGAAAATTTGTATTCTAATTCTTTTGCACTATATATTTTTATGCTGTTAATTAATAACAGTGTGTCAGGGTACCTGTATGCCCTTTTATGAAAGCTGGATATGATACAATACGCAAGCAAAATACTTATCGAAGAATGGTTTTAAAAATGAAAAATGTTTTATTTTCCTTGGAATTTAGAAGCTGAGATAGGTTTTGCAATGACTGCAGCGTATGATTGCTCAGCACATACTGCTTTCTCATAGTTTTGACATGTCTTCCTTATTTTTGAGAGTCGTTCATAGAACATTAACCATAGGGGAAACTGTTGCTATCGATGGGCCACTTTTACAAAATGATCCTTTTAATCGTTAAATTTAGCATATTTATAGTTTTGTACATGTTAATGTAACTATTACTTTCAATACTAAACATATCTAGGAATAGACGTTATAGTTATGAAATCTTCAATAAATATTAGAAAAATAAAAAATGGGTTCTACTGGCCCATTGAAGGAAACTTGTCGCCTTCACTGATCCGCCGTCACTGAAAATACTTTGAAATGTACTTATGGCTTTGCATTACTCGCAAGAAATCCAGTAGCTGGATTTAGTTTAGTCTTTACAATCATCAAATAGGCCCAGTGTAAGAATCTACGAAATAACATTGAATTTTGTTTAATAGAAACAATTTAATGAAAATGAGAATTTAAGGGTAATTTGTAGTTAGATTAGTATAAAAAGAACAATAACCATAACTTGAACACTTTCAAATATCATGAAATAATTATTAAGCCTACTATTAATATTAAGCTGCAAATCCTACATGGTATGGGCTTGGATCATGATCAATTGCCGCACGTCGCTCTGTGTGCTTTCATATGAGACTATACCTGGCCAACTATACATTCACGACGTTCTGCTGCCTCATGTTCGCATGTTCTGTAATGCTGTTGGGGATTGATTTGTTTTCATGGATGGCAACGCAACATGCCATTGGAACGTCGCTGTCCAGGAGTATGTAGAGAGCTATGATATATGGCCATCGCGTTTTTCAGATCTGATTCCCATGAAAAATGTTTGAGATGCTTTAGTGAGGTGTCTTGCTGGTCGAGAATGCCCTCCAATTAAACAAGGGCACCCTCGTCCGTACACTTACAGAAAGAATGGGATTAATTACCCCAACAGCTGCTGGAATGAGCAAGGCATGACACGACATGTGGAATCTTGTACCGCCTACCATGGTGTCCATATCCTGTATTAACATCTTATGCCAGAATGATTGAAGACGGTAACTGCATTATTTTCACGTTTACGTATTCAGTAAAGAATGACCATTCTTGTCCATTGCACACCTTTCAGAACGTTTTGGATTTCAGAGCACAATAAATGATCTTTAGTTTTATCTCTTAGTATTCTGGCATTATTTTATTTCACTTGGCATCTAACCGCAGTTACTTTTTTACGCTCTATATAGTGTTTTGTGTTCCGCCCTTAGCAACTGTCCACCAGTATATTTTGAATACTTTAAGAACTGATTTTTAATTGCTGGAAAACTCTGTTCTTTCCCTAATTATCTCAAATAAACTATGATTTTACTTTTGAGCGTATCATTATTGGCCATATTAATAATGCAATTAGCAAGCGATGCAGTACCCGATGTCTTTTGTTAGTTTCCAGGGTAACAGTAGCTACACAGAATGAAATAAATCAAATTCTTAACTCACTTTGCGAATATTACCTCATTTTACTATATCTCTGGCTCGTAATTGAATAAGTAAGTATATCTCTGGCTCGTAATTGAGTAAGTTTTAGCATCTCCATTTCGACTTTTTTATACTGCATATGTTTTTGGACATCTCACCGCTGATCTGTGAAAGTTCAACCCACGTTCAAATCCTGGAACCCAAGCTGCCTGTATAGGTATTTTTGTGTGTAAAGTGGATATGATATATTTTTGTTTGTAAAGCGGATATGTGTAAATTGGATTATATAGTAATTGAAAATCACATTCTACTGCGTTTTTATTATAATATACCTTAAAAAAGTAATGAAAAAATTGTCGAGGTTTTGAGGAAGAAATTAAGTAGAAATGCCATTTTCTCTATCTTAAGTATGGAGCAAAATGAATGGCAAAATTAATGAAATGTGTTTTGCTAATGTAAAATTTTAAATTAAGTTTCGTATTTCAGGTGTCCTGGCGAACACCAATGCTAGAATTCGTGTTAGAAATGGTATATTATCCATTAATTTACATGCAGTTCGTTTTATCTATATTTACCTCAAAGCATCCATATACTCCTCAAGTAAGTATAATTTGATATTTCAATTTTAATAAGTGAAAATTTATACAGAAATAAGATGAATTAAAAACAATTTGTTTTAGTTCATAACTTATCTGTGTCACAAATAAGGTAATTTAAATGCAGAGCTTACTTTAGTTCACAATTCTTATGACGGTCTCAATGGAATTGCTTTGGGCAGGATGATAGTTAACGAAAAACTAGAAGCCGTTAGGAAAAGATTCTAATTTCGAATACGAGATGAAATTTTATAGCTGTAATATCTTTCCTAAGTAAGGACTGTTAAACTTTGTCAATCCAAATTCATGATGAAAGAAAATGGAGAGGAATTCTTTCTACATGAAGATTTTGGTCAAATTTGGGGTACAGCTTAGCATAAAATTATGCTACCTTTTAAGGCTCTTATCAACGACAGAATTTTTTTCTTTTCGCTCATTTCAACGAGGTATGAAATATGTGCGAAAGTTTTCTAATTTAATAGTAATACTAGCATATGTTTTTATTGGGCACCTTAGCAGATTTTCAATTTTATTTTTATTTCTAAGCCTTTCTGATTTATTCACCCAGCTTTCGTAAAATCAGTCGCTTTGTTTCACCTGTAAACGTCACATCTGCCATCAACTGAGTGTAAGACCTTAGAATTCTATCTCTGGAAAGTTGATTAACGAAGACTCATGGTTGCACCATTAAATTCTCCAACGAATCACAATCATAACTCTTCATACTTGGACTTTTTCACATTTTCATTTAGATGACCCTGTTTAATATTTTCTTCCTGTTTTCATCTAGTCTTATATATTTTATGCGAAAAATAGGTGGATAGGATAGTGGTAAACATTTAGCCCCCTTCTCTAGCAACAGACTACTACTGAAAAATAAGGCATCGCTTTTGCTGGAAACACGTATAGTTTTTAAAGTCAAAATTAGCGTCGATATAACATTGATTTATAGTTTATCACGTTACATATCTAATAAATGGATAAAAAATTGATTTATTATTGCTATAGCTTTAGATGTGTGACAGAACATACTTAAAAAGGGCAGTGTTTTGTAAACTCTACTACACTGAAGAGCCAAAACATTATGACCACCTACTTCAATAACGTGTTGCACGATATTTGGCCTGCAAAACAGCTGCAACTCTCCTTGGCATGGATGCCACAAGTTCTTGGTAGATGATTGGAGACAGGTTGTATCAAACGTCTAAGCAGCGGTAACGCAAAGTCGAGATATTCCGATTTGGTGGTGTTTGAGCTCTGAGCTGCCAATCCATGACATCCCAATTGTGCTCTATCGAGTTAAGATATAGCGAGTTAGGTGGCAAGACATTAATTAGATTTCATCCTTAAGCTACTCGAACCGCTCCAACACAATTCGAGCCTTGTGATAAAAGGCATCGTCCTTCTGGAAAATTCTATTTCCAGTTGGTAAGATAGACGTCATGTAAGGGTGCAACTGATACGAAATTATGTTCAGATAGTTCTCAGCTTTCATGGTCTGTTCTATCACAACTAAGGATCCCAGAGCCGACTTACCCATGGTTCAGTCTCGATGTTCTGTGACCCACTGTAGACGTAGTTGACAATGACGCTTGGTCAACAGAGGCACAGGAGTGTGACGTCTGCTGCGCAGTCCCATATCCACCAGTGTCCGCTGAGCTGTGTGTTTTAAAACACTTGCATGCAGACCTGCATTGTATTGGGTTGTCAGCTGAGCCACTGTCTGAAGCCGATTTTGTTGTACCAAGCGGGAAACTCTTCGACGTCCTTTTTCTTTGAGGACATGTGGACGTCCAACACCTTGGTGTCTACTGCTGGGTTTCACCCTCATTTATGCATTTTGAATACATGGACAGATAATGAACAACCTACCATTTGTGCAGTTTCGAAAAACTCCTTCCTAGTCTACAGGCCATTGCAATCTGCTCTCTGTCAAATTCGCTTAGATCAGTAGCCTTTCCCATCACTCGCAAATGTAAGTGAAATAATGGTTGCTTACCTTTTCCAGCAGCAATTGAATACCATTCCCACTTAATGACTTGCACTCCACATCATCCATACGAGTTCATTGAAAAAGGTAGGGTGGTCATAATGTTTTGGCTCGTCAGTATAAATCATACTGAATCACTGGCAGCAAATAAGAACAACCTTTGGTATCTTTTTTTTTATTTGGATAAGCTTAGAAACGCTGAGCCTTATTTTAATAAATTACAGTAGAATTCCTACTAGAAAGCAGTGGATTGAAAAATATGGAAGCTGATTAACATTTTCTTTAATTTGTTACGGTAGGAAAATTTAAAACTATTTTTCAAATTCGAATTGCTGTTTCACTGTTTAGTTTTGATAATTTTCTGCGCTGGGGAAAACATTGATGCATTCCTAAGTATTTTGAATTTGATAAATACGTTAATGAAAATTCTTTCTAAATTTTTGTTCAGTAAATAAGTCTGGCATAGTTAGGATATTCACTCTCAGGAATACATTTTACTGAAAATTCTCTTATTTACGTTTTGTATTGCAGAAAGAGTTTTTAAAGCGCTCGATTGCAACGCGAGCTTACGAATATTTCTCAAATTTTGCTGTTTTTAACTAAATAAAAACACTAGCTTCTTGAAGTTTTCATTCGTTCTTCAATCATAGGATCAAGTTTCCACGCGTCAAATCGTACACGAAGGCACTGCTATCTTTAGGGTAATAACCTTCAAGTAATTATTCTTATTAATTACGTAGTCTGAAGTTGGAACTCATGAAAAATCTTAACAGCTGTTATACGTTTATTTACTATAATCAATTTCCATATTCTTAATACAGGAGTCCTAGCTACCTGCGTCACATTACCTTCCTTCCTGCGTACTTCCAACCGACTTACATCATATTACATTCCTGCTTTTTGTTTTTGCACTAGAGATTAGTAGGTTAAATTAATTGAACAAAACAGCAGCTTTCTAGTATAAAGGTTAAATTTCAAGCAGGAGGTAATATTTTGGCACTTAAGGAAAATCCCGTCGATCACATGAGACGGCGCCAATCGCGCCAGACCAAAAAAAAAAAAAAAAAAACAAGTTCTAGTCTTATTTTTCTTTCAAATATTTCTATTGATCTTTATAAAAGGCTGTGTGCGCAATTTTCTCTCAGGTAATTACTCCATTTTATAACGATCTTGTCACTTAACTCTAATTCCTCTTTTTTTCCCATTCAATAGTCGTCAATTCTCTGTGCCAACTAGAAATGAATTGGAGTGCAGTCAAAAATGAAATGGTAGAACCCGCGAACCACGTTCCCTTAAGAATTGACACACGCTTCGCACAAGCCTTAACTTTGCAACGCCATTGCTTCTCAGTTCTTAAACAAATCGCCATTTCGTAGCCATTAACACATTTTTTGAGGCCGGTAAGATTCCATAACTTTGAAAATATTCAATAGCACGCTCTTCTGTAGTAGGCAGGTCCGAAATTTTAATCATTTGTTTTCGAAAATGCGTGATAGAGGAGAAAAAGAGAGTCTTTACTCAAAAATAATAACTAACACGTGTAATCAAGGTTACACCAAACCCAGCGTGTTTGAAGACTTTTCCATTTTTGGCGAAATATTTCCGATAGTAATTTTTAGGATGCCCATTTAGACATTAAAGCAGTTTTCTTTTATAACTCTGAAAATTTAACTTTTTCACGCTGTGCATTTGTTTGTTTTAATTTTCGATGGTTTAATTTGTGAACAAACAAAAAAAATCCAAGCTTTGATTAATACAATCATTGGAAAAAAAAAAGTTGTGCAAGCAGCTTGCAGATCACTGCAATATCTGTACTTACTAATTATTACATTAGTAATACACTTTCGAATATTACTATAAAATAATTGTATATATTACTTACTGTAAAATATGTAACAAAATCTCATCTTTAAATGTTATTTATTCTGCCTTTTAGCGGAGGAGCCCAATGGAAGAAGAAACTATGATTTTATTCCTCACGTTTCACTGGCTTTATAAGTGAGTCTCTATTGTCTAGTTTTCTGAATTAATAAATTCATGGAGCCATTTTTTTAATATGCTAAAATTATAATTCATGAGAAGCTGAAATCTATGTATGAAGAACTCGATATAATGTAATGAATAAAGAGTAACTCAAAAATTGAGCTCTAAATTTTCAAACCAGTTTCATAAAATATTTAATTTTATATTTATGAATGTTAAATTTGCTGATACGTAAATTAAACATATTAACGTAAGAACATTCTTATGAATTTTTTATTAATTGCTTTATGTTTCATTTTCAGGCTAATTTGGCGCTGTAAACGAAAAGCTTTGTTGGTTTCCAACTTATTTCCTCTCCCTTTAAGTTTAGGAGTTACTTACATAAGAACGAAAGTGGGAAAACATTTGAGGGGGAAAAGAAGTGGCAGGTATGAACAGTTGGCTCATTATCAGTGAATTAAAAATGCTCTTTACTGTAATAGCAATAAAGTTTTGTGTAATTTTATCCCCCCCTTTTTTTAAATGTATCATAAATTTTTTTAAGTTATTATGTGTAACTCTTTGCAGGTCTGCATATGAGATGGTTAATGGAACTGTTAAAAGGACGCCAGAATTCAAGAATTTTTCAGCATCTTTGTTAAAAGCATTTAGCTGGAGGCTAAGCTGCTGTTTATGTTTAGAAACAATTGATAGTATACTTCAGTTTGTACCATCATTTATTTTAGGGTAAATGAAATTCAGATTACATACGTAAAATATATGAAAATAATGTTTCTTTCTAAGTGATTTGAACGTATTAGGTTGTTTTGCATTATTTTATGTTTCTCTGTTTGAAATTTTAAAGCCTAATGTTGCTGTTAACACTTGAGAGTATATCGCATTCCTGAAAAATATCCCGATGACAGTAACACTCAGCATCTACTGTTAACTTAAATTTCAGTAAGAATAACCTAAGTTTGTCATCGAAATTTTGGAGGAGATAAATCTTGAAATAAAAGCATCTCAAATTTAAAACAAGATCAAAATCTTTAAGAAATTTTAATAATTTATTGCAATTTGCAGAATAAATTAGACTTTCAAATTGAAATCAAATATTCAATTTATTTGTAAAACCTAATTGAATTTACTTTGACGACTGCAATGTGCCTAAGATGCTAGCAGGTTATGCGAACCAGCGCACGTCGTAGCCACTGATTCAAAACGTCAGTAGTGCTTACGATATTTTTCAAGTTGTAATTATCTGCATGATAATTTGCATACTTTTAATTTATGCTAGTTTTCTGTGTTGATTCTAAATTGTGATGAGCCCACCAGCGGCCGAGCAGTACACCGCTGAACACTGCTAGTTCGGTCCGAGGCTCGAATTCCGCGAACGGGCTGGCTGTATGAGCGTTTTCGTGGTTTTCCCCATGTGTAACTGGTATACGAGCCAGTTCTCCTTAGAAAGTCCGTCACAAAGGCAGACTCCCTTTAGGCAGATAGCCCTCGTGTGCTTTGCCATAATTGAATAATCCCAATCTCTAAATTGTGATGAAACTGAAACCCAGACTAATTAGACAATGTAAACTGTACAATTTTCATTTATTTATGCTTGCATTCCAAAAAACTAAAATTCTGAAAACTTTTTTTTAAAGTCATGAAATAAATTTTAACTTTTTCCATAAGCTAATTTCTTTGGTACATTCCAATATTTATCAGGGCTCATGAACTTCACAATAAATAATTCTATATTTTTAGTGATTTACAATGTTAGCCATTAAAATTGCTACACGGTGAAGGACTGCAAATGGATACAAATACATACTAATTGAAGGATTAAATTATTAAATTTTCAAACAATATTTAGATACAAAGCATGTAGAAATTAGCTTTCCGAGAGCAAACCTCTAGAAAAAATAGCAGCTGCTAGGTGACGTGTCCTGGAATCGAAGAAACTTTCGATGATAGTTATGATACTGCAGTCTGTGTGATTTCAGTTCTATACCAGTGTTCTTGTGTCATACTGCCTGGCAGGGTATTACCGTGCCAGTTCCTCTGTAACCTTTGACTAGATTTTTCAGTTGGTGAGGTATCTAAAGAACGCACCGGCCAAGGCTGAAGTAGAGCACTTTGTGTACTGAAAAAATATAGGACAGCGTGGTCTCTCATTGTCATTGTTGAAAGACAGGGTTTACGGAGGTCTGAAGGTTTTAAAAACCACAGGCAGTAAAACATCAGGAATAATCAGTGGCTGGTCGAAATACCGGGTATGCGAACTAGAGGTGAATGAAATGTGTGCTAAGTGGCATCCCAATGCCGTTAATCTATGTGACGAGATGGTATAGTGTTCAAGAATACAAATTCTTTCAACGCTTTCCCTCGTGACTCGTTTCCCTTGGCCCCGGATGTAACCATGGTGATGCTTGTAAGCAAAATCGGGATGCGTCCGAAAATACTACATAATGCCACTAATGCGTCGATGTGCGTCGTTGAATGCATTGTTGTAAGCTTTTTTTTGTTGTTGTTGTTGTTGTTGTTGTTGTTTGTAACATCAAAAGTCTAAGTAGATCACAAGCTACCTCAAAGAACGTCAAGTGACCTACAAAAGAGACGCCCTAAATATCACGATGAATTATCACAAAGGAGCCCCACAGGGATCTAATATCGGACCATACTTTTAAAGATCAGCTGGGATAAAAGGACATACCGGGCAGAAAGGCAACGAACGAGCGGATGAACTAGCTAAGACTGCAGCTCTCAAACCAGAAATTGACAAGGAAGTTGCGCTTTCCGCAGAAGTTGCAAAAAGGCTGCTCAAGACAACATTTCAAGAGACATGGTCATCACGATGGCAGGAAGAAGAGACAGGAAGATTTACTTACAACATCTTCTCAATACCTTCTCTCAAGAGGATCAAATGCAACTGACTCTTCCTCCAAACCTGTACCAACCACGGGAAATTCACAGCGCATTACATGCGATTCCTCAGACGGGACATCAACTGTTCTTGCGGTTTTCGCGGGGAAGACGCGGACGCACTTCATTACCTGCTCTCCTGCACTCTGACAGAGCACCTTCGACAGCACTTCTTTCCTCCCGACTACATCGCATATCCTGTGAATAGAATGTTCACGGACTATTACTGCAACAAGGGCATCTTAGAGATAATGAAGCAAGTGAATGAATATAATTATAATCCAAGAAACTACAGATTAATGTAAAATGTAGAAGGGCTACCTAACCGTCAGATTGTTAGCAATGACTAGGATGACTTCTTAACCCTGTAGTGCCATTAAGTTAGTTTGGCGGAACAGGTTAAGTAAAGTGACCATATATACCTTATTGACAATCCATTGCGTTGCAGATGTCGCACTGTATGTACGGATTGCTGCGCATTACACCTAATCCAGGGTACTTGATGTAGCTGTTCCGTCTCTAACAGCGATGCGTTCAAGATGTAGTGACTACTGAGATCTTGCACATCGATTTGTGGGGCCCTCCTGGATCCACAGTCCCAAAGTCTCGTAAGTCATTAGATATTGATCAATGCGAGCAGCATTTTTGCGGTAGATAGTTTTCAGTTTCCGGTAGACTATGCGTCTCCTACAATAGAAATTTGAGACATGTTAGTATGATTTCCTTCTTACGCGAGACATAATACGACCTCAAATACCTCCCAAGAAAGAGTAAATATTGTTGCTTTATTTTCTGACACCAGTTGTTACGTTATTATCTTTTTTCACGTTCGTACGGGGTTCGTGTGGATTTGGAGTAAGACGACAGCACTTGATGGAATATCGAAACATACTTTTTTTGGCCGGTATTAATCAGGACAGTTCCAAAGTCACGTTTTACAGTCGTCGAAGATCATCTATAAACTCGCTGGAACAATCAGCGACACAGCCTTCAGGTTATCAGGCTATAACGGTGGAAACAGCTTCACTGCAAAGCATCAGAATACAGCTCCCGAATCTGCTTGGTCGTTCTCGAAACTCCATGTACTCTCGAGACTCTCCACGCTACAACTCACGATGCACTCGACAACACACAGAGCACAGCTTCCGACTCTTCGGTTCAGTCGCTCCCGGAGCTCAACACACTCTCTCGACGATGCACTAACCGCGATATTCTATGAGACACTTTCGATGCACTCGACAACCCACTCGTCACTCGCTGCCCGGCTGTCAACTCTATCGACTCCGCACGGACTGACTAACTCGAGACACACTGATTGCGGACCAGCACGGTTTATATAGCTTTCGGCTTGTGTTCGAGAACATTCTGGGCTAAACCAGTAAGAATTCGTTCCAGAAGGTTCTCCATCCGTCCATGGCCTATCGGCAATTTTGTCGCCAAATGTGGCAACCTTGCCTTCCCTTGACATTTTATGACAACCCTAAACCTGCTTTTGTGGGAAATATCACACCGCGCCTGGACATTTCGTAACAATATGATTCCTGGATGTATTACTCTAATTTCAATTTGCTTTTTACTTTGCTAAGCTGCTTCACTGCGTCAAGGTGTCGTTACACTTGCTTGTAATGTTCGTATGCTGTGAAGTGCTGATCATAACTCAGCATATTTAACCTCCCGTATGCAGACCAATGGCCAAAGGGTAAAGTCTCTGAACGCCTGTAGTTCGACCTGCGTTCAATTCCAGGCAAACAAGTTAGCTGCATGGGCGTTTTCTTGATTTAGCCCCCCCCCACAGTAAAGTGAATACGAACTAGTTTCTCAAAGAAGGCATCCTTTGCTTTAAGCAGATAGCTCTTTCACTTACTTTGGCATAATCAAATAAATCAAACCAATCTACATTTCATATAAGTTTCAGTGTTGCTATGTGCTTCCTTCATGGTGTAGCAGTTTTAATGACAACCGCTTTAAGGCAGTATGCGAAGTTTTATTACATTGCTAATATTATACTTTGATAATTTTATGAGCTTTGTTTCAGATGGATTATAGACCATTTAAGTAGACCATCTCGCACTTGGAACGGTTATTTGCTATGTAGTCTTCTTGTATTTGCTGTTTTCACCTGCAGATGCGTAGGGAATTTACTCATGTTGCAATCCAACCTTTACGTTTTACAAATAAAAGCAGCGTTAATGGATGCAGTGTATGTAAAGGTATGTGAAAACTATTTATTTTCGTTTATTGCAGAAATGTCAGTTTTTTTGAAGAATTGTGATTACAATCTAAAGTGCTTAGAAATGTGTATCTTAAAGTACAGAATATGTTTTTAAATCTGTTATTTTGCTACTCTTAGTAAACATCTTTGAAATTATATCATATCATATATAGAACTGAAGTGACTTTGGCGATCGCGCCTGTTATTTATCTATTTCCCAATCCGAGTATCTGACTGGCTCTCAAAACCGCTATACGTCTAGAGTACTTTTAGTGCCATATGAAGGGATACGACTGGTCGTCGCAATTGAATCCGTGGTGTCGTTGTGAGTCTTCTGCGTTGATATGATTGATCGTCGCTCTCGTAGGTTGCAGTCTCAATACATGGGCGTGCCTAGTTAAGTCCTTTGTTGAACCATGCATGGGCGTGCCTGGTTAAGTCCTTTGTTCCTAGTTGAGTCCTTTGTGTGGTGTGTCTTCTGTGTTGCTCTCGTGCGTTGCAGTCTCAATGCATGGGCGTGCCTAGTTAAATCCTTTTTGAACTATGGGGAGTGGCGCGTGTGACGCTGTTCTTCTTTTGGTCCTAACTGGTAGGAGGTGCATGTTCTTATCACAATCAGGTCATCATACTGTCACCCCGGGTGTTTCGCCAAAAACAATTAGATTTTTACAGAAACTGCATTTTTAAAAATTGAGCAACTGAATTTAGAAGACGCGTCATACTTGTATATATTATCAGTAATAACAGAGAGGGAGTAGAGATTTAAGATTGGATTTTAATTTTGTTTGACAGTTCTTAGGATCTGTATTTACACTATTTTGTTTATTGCGTGTATGTGTATTTAAGTCTGCTGGATCTAGGAGCAGTTCACCAGTCATATTTTTTCTTTTTTGTTTCGTTGTTGGGGTTGGGGCTTTTAAACTTAGCTGACAATTAGTCCTTTCCTTACCAGTTCCTTAGAGAGTCTAATGAAGGGTCTGACACGTGAAAAAACCTAAATAATTTTCTGTAGATAAGAAGCTAACTAAAGAAAAGAGAAATGGGGCACTTTGCCGCTGTGGAAGTTGGCCATGACTGAAAAGCTGGAAAAGGCAATGCCGGCATCGGAAATCCACGAATAAGATAACATAGCACTCGATTAATACATAACAAAACTTTTGGAAAAGTACCTAACAATAATGTCATCTTAGCAATCCAAGGGGCGGTGTATCTGTATGATGGCGGGTCAAGTCCAAAAAGTGCATATCATCATAGAATGCGTGATGAAAAGGTCATGTGACCACTCTCACCCAATTAGTAACATGACAATTGTAGAAGCATTGACAATTTGATTTCGAAGAAGTTCAAAGCATACTGAAGTTTTTGCAACAGTGAAATGGCTTTAGAACACAATTTTAACTAAAGAAACTAAACTCAGCGGCGCAAACAGCTCTAATGGGCCAAGTGCAGTGCCCTGAAATCTGCTTTCTTGGCCGTGGGCCCCGGGTGCGTAAGCATGTGCCCTGAACAAGTGGTCAATTTGTCGCAGAACCCCCAGTGTTTAGTCCCCAAGCGAACTTGGTACTCATTTTATCGACCCAAGGGATGGAAATCAAGGTATGAAAGGCTGAGTCGACCTAGCCCAGCCCGGGGTATGAACCCCGTACCTGTGGTGCTGCTGCGCCACCGGGCTTCGGAACACAATTTTATCGTCTCTAAAATTCTGTGTAGAGTATTTGAAAGTCTTGGATGACCTTTAAAACCGAAATTATGGTCACGTTTCTTGTCTGCTTACACAGGAGAGGGGTGCAAATCAGCTGATTTTTCGGGGAGCAGAAAAATACGAAATTTGATGTTTTCACTTGGAAAACTCTAGTACAGGTATCTCTGGAATGGGACGGTCATTTGATTGAAGTAACCAAATCGTAGGTTTTACCCTTTAATGCAGGTGGGCTTTGCGTCTTCGGAAGCTTGCAGTTTGAGAGCCTGGGAGTAGTAAAGACATCCAGAATAATTACTGCAACCGATTTGCATATGTCTGGAGCGTTGACATTTTAAACAAATTTTTGACTGTTTCTCTGGTTTGTACTTCTTAACCTTGACTGGGAGAGACAGATGGGGTTTTTTTTCTCATGAAAGATCCGGTTGCTTTCATCACAGCGTTTAAGTTCCACAAAGAAAACAGGAAGGTTGATTTTTTACACTGGTGGTATATTCCTGGAAAATGGCTTCAACTTAACAACCAGGTAACTCAACTTGTTAAGTTCATTTCTGATGCAATCTAGGTCTTCGTCCGCTGATTAGCCGTAAATGACGACCCTAACTGGAAGCTGTTCTTCTGCATGAAAAATACAAATCTGAGTCTCAGTTTTAAGTAGGGCTCCGACAGCCTTTTTTTCTGGTGTCTCAGTCCAGGAAATAGAGGTGAATTTCTTCACGTTTCAGGGTTCCAGTATAGTTTCTGATGCTATTTAATTTCTTCCCAAGTGACTTGACGTCGCGGGCATAAAATGGGCGGCAGGTATCGTTTCTTTTACGCTAGAGTTGGGGGCGGGAGTCGATTCCGTCACAGTGTCTGATTAACTCCTGTTCTCCAGGCAACTGGAATTCTCCGTAGTAATGTTAGAAATTAAAACACTCATATCAGAATTTGAGCAAGAATCCCCGTCTGGAGATGACTCGGAAGAGGTTAAGTATTCATATTCATCATCGCTTTTCAAATCTGAAGCTGCTGTAGGCTGATCCAGTAAATCAGGTGCATTCTTCACAGAATGCGTAATGAACCCAGCAGAAGTGCCTTCGCGGTAGTTAAGAAGTTCATCAGATGTCCATTTTTGATGTTCCAAAGAACTTTCATCTGTGCTAGAAGGAGAAGCTTTAGAAGTAAATCATCAAGCCCTGGCTCTGAGTCGCTTGCTTCCAATTTCTCGGAAAATGCTAAAGTAGTAGACTTAAAGATCATAATTAATGAACTGTATGAGCTGGCAAGGCTGTATCCTAACTGCGAAAATACACGAGGTAATAGTCAAAGAAATAAGCGAGGGACAAACCTCACCTTCTCATTCGGCAACTAACCGAGTTCTCCAATCTATATCTGTAATCTCAATCGTCGTCAGTTAATACACTTATATACCCCGAGCATTAGCTCGTGCGCTTCTTGGTGCTTTGCTCGTGTCTCATCTATTAGACAGACTGGAATGCGTTACTATACCAATATACTTGAAGGTGGTAACTGACCTTGGAGTTCGAACGTGGGTCTGTTTCTTAGCAGTTATATGTCGTACCGCCATTTAAAAAGTGCACCTATGAGATCGCCTTCGATTTTTGATCAGTTTCTTGATGTGAACGTCTGACTGGCATTTGGCACCTTTGCATTTTAAATTTTCTTCCTAAACATTAAATTAAAATTTTTATTTCCTTTTCAGTAAAGCATTTGTAAGTTTCAGTCGAAAACTTTTCAGATAAGCACAAGACTGTGATTAATATTTTGTCATTTCTTGCATAACTGATTTAATCTCAGTGTTTCGCAGTTTTAGTTTAAAGATTATGGGGAAAATTAAAAATCTTTTGTTCACCTTTTTTTGTGTATTTTTATACAATTAATTCAATTATATATAATCGTATATGTTGATTAGAAGAGCAGTAAGGATTACTTTCACTACTCTCTTTTTGTATAATAATTGATGGACTCCATATTTTACTAGCACTGGCTTTTTCTATTAAAATAAGAAGCAGGAATGGAACGTTCAGAAGTAGGTTGAGAATGTACTACTTATCAGGTACCTGCGATAACAGACCAGTTTTGTCCAGTTCTAAGATTTGCTCAAAACTTAGCAAGGATACTCCGGAAAACGAAATTCCGAGACCCGATATCTTACTTTCTCTGTCGCCAAGATAGTCAATGGAATTTTTTCTCAATACATTTTAAGTGTTTCTGTTCTCTAACTTTATAAAATAGAGCACAGCACCGCTGGACTTCGTGCGAATTTTTTCCGAAGCGTTGTGCGAATTTTTTGTCCCAAGGAGTTTGTTTCCGTTAACCGTTCAACAGGTATCCGTAGAGCGTTCGTTAGAAGAAATCATTTTTTCCATTTTCTTTGATATAGAGAAAGCCTATGATACCACCTGGAGATACGGTATCCTTTGTGACCTATATAACAATGGTTTACGAGGAAACATGCCGATATCCATCAAACATTTCCTACAGGATCGGAAGATTCATGTGAAGATAGGCGATACACTTTCTGACATGTTCCATCAAGAAGAGGGCGTTCCGCAAGGAAGTGAATTAAGTGTTACATTATTTAGTATAAAAATTAACTCTATTTTAAAACAACTGCCTTTAGCAGTCCAGGGTATGCTCTATGTCGATGACCTGCAAGTCAGTTGCCAGGGAGAAGACCTGAAAGACATTGAGTGTAAACTGCAGACATCTCTCAATAGAATTGTTAAATGGTCACAGGAAAAGGGTTTTAGATTCTCTACTCAAAAGACTGTGTGTGTACATTTCTGTCGAAAGAAAATTCCTCACCCTGACCCCGAACTTTATCTGCAAGATGTGCTGATTCCTGTAGAAAAGGAAATAAAATTCCTAGGAATGATATTTGACCATAAGCTTACGTTCCTCCCCCATATGAATCCCAAACTATGAATATTCTGAAAGTACTGTCAAATACTTCTTGGGGTGCTGATCGAGGCTCAATGCTTCTTATATATAGAGCTCTCATTCGTTCGAAACTAGATTATGGATCAATCATTTATGGGTCGGCAAGGCCTTCAGTATTAGCCAAACTTGATCCGATACATCACCAGCACTTCGGATATGCACTGGTGCCTTTAGAACTTCTCCAGTTGAAAGCTTATATGTGGAAAGTAACGAGACCTCCCTGCGGTTAAGACGTGAAAATCTTTGTTTAAGCATTATTTCAAAGTCTTATCACAAACCGAAAATTCTACGCGGTCAAAATTGCTTAATGACCAATACTTCCGTTTATATCAGGCACGACCATCATGTGTCCCATCTTTCGGCTTGCGGATGAGTGCTTGGTGGAGGAGTATATAATTTGTCTAATATAGATATACAGATGGAGGATTTTTTTTTGGAATTCCTCCCTGGGAGGATTGGAGAATCCATTCTCTGGATACTTTTCGACACTGGAAGTAAATCACAAACTAATGAAATCATCTACAAGCAGATTTTTTTCAACATAGAAACAAATATAGGAAATATATCCCTCTATATACAGACGGATCAAAATCCCAGGATCATGTTGGCGCCGCTTTCGTCACAGAGAAAACAATAGTAGGGGTTCGATTACATACAGTTTGCTCTGTGCTTACTTCTGAGCTTACTGCAATCCATCTGGCTTTGACTTACCTTTCAAAAACAAAGTACATAAAATTTATTATCTACACAGATTCCATGAGTGCCTTAATGTCATTGAAAAATCACGCTCAATGTACTCATCCAGTTGCAATCAGAATCCTGAAGTTGAATCATTCTTTAAAAATTCGGAGGATACCAGATTCTTTATTCGTGGATCCCTGGACACGTTGCCATTAAGGGGAATGAATTGGCGGATATTGCAGCTAAAACTGCAACCACAATGTACAATCTTCAGATTCCACTAGCAGACATCAAAGGGTTTGTCAAAAGCAAAATCTCAGCAAATGGCAGAAGCAATGGGATGACAAAGTATATAACAAGCTGAGAAATGTAAAACCCACCATTGGATACTGGCCATGTATGGCTAATAGAAAGGAAGATGTCCTCTTGACTCGACTGAGAATTGGCCATTGTCGCCTGACTGACCATGAGTATCTTCTGAAGGGAGAAGAGAATCCCAGCTGCCCAAACTGCAATGCAGATCTGACAGTCCATCATATCTTGGTGGAATGCCAGAGTTTTAATTATTTTCGCCAAAAACATTTTAATTGTTCAGAACTGGACTTAGGAAATTTAATTGGAAAAAAAACACATCATCGTAATTTGTTTCTGTTTTAAAAGATATTGGCTTTTATAATAGACTTTAACCTGTTTTTTAAAAGATATCAGCTCTTATCGTAGATTGTAATCTGTCTCTTTTTACCTAAGCTGGAAGTTTTTACAAATGACTAATTGCATTGTTACCATTTGTCTGGCGCAGATAACCTTGACAGGTTTTGTGCCAAATTACAATAATCCAATCCAATCTAATCCGTTAACCATTCGAAGATACTCAATTGGCAGATACAATAAATATCCTGTACCGCTGAAATATTTGTATGGCGACTTTTTGAAAAGGGTCTATAAACCGGTGAGTACGAATGTGAACAATGTGTGCTTAGATAATATTAGGTCTGTAGCTGGTTAGAAAATATAGTAAAGACATTGTGTATACATAGTACATACAAGCACACATACTTAAAAATATATTTTTAAATTATCACAGACAATAACAATAAACTATTTAAGGATTATGTTTAACTTTTACTTTTGGTAGGTAATTATTTGTGACGTGAGATCAAATTTCGGTGTGTGTTCGAATATTCAGAGACATTTCTCAATACTGAAGACAGTGAAGAAATAAAAATGAGACTACCATTTAGTATTTTGGGACGACTTAATAAATTAAACCATTGAGGCAAATAAATTAAAAGTGGTTTGCTTTGAGAATATTGCGATGCAAATTTAGTGGAAGTAAGCATAGTATAATCGGATGTATCATCCTGCGCAATAAAGCAATGTCAACTTAAAATCGTAAAGAGAAATCGACAATATTGTATCAAATAATCTCTAATACATTTAACAACATATACTGGTTCCACTTTAAGGAAAACCTATTATTTTTCTTAGCTGTTTAATTACTGAAGTTTTTTAATAGCTTGAATTAAATGAAAAGTATTTTACACATTTTGTATCCCTAGAGAAAAATTTACCCGCTACACTTTTTTTATCGCTAGAGATATGCACTCTATATGGCGCAAAGAATTGATGAATGTTCGAAAGTAGCTTTCCTAGTCTGATTTCTAGAAAATTTATTTCATGCATCTGTCTTGGATCATTAGATGTATTATGTGCTTATTTAATAAATCATTATCTATAAAACTGTTACTTCATATGTTTACAATAAATTAATTCTTCCCTGTAATTAAAATAATTGTATCATTTTAATAGAAATTTTAATATTTATGAGTTATTGTGGAATAATGTTCAGTTCTTTTTTCAAGGCTTTGAAGATGTCTTGTTCTGCCCGAAGACAGTATAGTTCAGGAGAATTAGCAAATCTTCTTTCAGCTGATGTGGAGAGAGTTGAGAAACTTGCGACTGAAGTTATTATTATACTTGGAGCTCCCCTAAAAATATGTCTAGCAATAGGACTTATGTGGTATTTTTTAGGCTCAGCATGGATTGCAGCATTAGTCATTATTATTATTGTTATTATAGCGAGTTTAGTAATAGGAAAAAGAATTTCAAAACTTCAGGTAAAATATGCCATTTTCCTTACTTTATTTCTATTTATATTACATTTTTACTGTTTTTTATCAATATAATTCAAATTGCTTGCCGATTGGAGTACAAAACTTCTTTTAAAATACTGCCAATTTTTAAAGGTGGAACAGATGACGATCAAAGACGACAGATTGAAAATCATAACAGAAATAATTAATTGCGTCAAGGTGAGTTTAATAGATATAAAAAAGTGTTTGATTATGCATTTTTTGAAAAAGTCAAAGTTTAATGAATATTTCAGTGGCTACGAGTGGACCGCCTGGATCAGATGTTATCAAATTATCCTGCTGTTAGAAATAAGCAGAGATATTATTTTTCCATTATGCTTTATTTCCTTATAATTTTACTTAATATTCATTGACATTCATCCACTACGAAAGTCATACTACGAATCCACTACGAAAGTCATGTATGGAAAGTTAATTTCCATACATCTCCCCCAGCGGGGGGGAGGGGGAATTTTCGCGGATAGAAGAGGACGGCGAAAGGGTTAAACAGTAGCTTCACAGCCCAACACAGTCTCCCGATTAAAAAAAAATGAAAATTTATGGGAAGAAATCGATCGTGAACGCAAAAAATGATATTAAGAACAAGGTTGAACTAAAAATGGCCATTCAGCATATATGGAGCAACATTTCGCTGAAAAAATGTCATGAGAGTCGTATCACAACCTTTAAAGGAAGTAATAAAGTCCAAAGGAGGGCCTACTTGCTAATAAGTATAACTTGGTTAACATGGAAAGATCTTTCATAAACTATATAAATATCGTAAAGAAACTTTTTTTGCTCCTCATTAATGGCATTTTTTGTTTCTTTATTATTTATCTCTATATCTTTTCTTTATAATATTCATGAATAATGTATGCAGTTGTGTTGAACTAATTTGCTAATTTTCAATTTCTTCAAAAAGGATATTAAATTCAATTAAAAAGGATTAGTCTTCAAAAAGGATTAGTGACAAATTAAACTTTCATTTACGGTCATAGCTGTATACGGAAACGTTTTAATCCGCTATACCTCAAATAGAATATTGAGAAATTGTTTAGGTCTACTATCAGAAAACAATCAAACCAAATTTTATATCAAAGAATGAAAGAATTTGCAATCCATAAAGCATTTATCGTAGAAATGCATAAAGCGATCGATATTTAAGGAGCATTATCTTTGGAAATATTTTGACTGCCGTGTCGCCCTCTGAACTACGCTACTTGAAAGAATGCAGGATGCATCATAGTAAATACTGAATATGGCAGTGATCATTTGAGAAACTGCCTGACAATGAACTAAAACACGTGAACAACAAAAAAGATTATTCCGTTAAGAAACACTGATACTTGAGGCCGTGTGTCTTCTAAAAACTGTCGGTGACTTTCTAGGGTTGCTTGGAGGGCAGATGCTTTCATGGAGGATTTTCTAAAGAAAACTGAATTTTTTTTTTTACATCACACACAGAAAATCTACAAAATAACTCACTGAGTCAGCCTGCTATGCCATGGTCATCTCCTACTCGATGCCCGGTGATCCATTGTGATTGAATGTATGCTCACAAGATAAAATATGGTGTTCTCATCATAGCTTGTGTGGACCTAAACTTAAAAAGAATAAGCGGATTGTCTTCACTGTGTTAAAATTAAGTGCATTTTTAGTCCATTATTACAGTTGGTGAAACACAAAACATAATATCAAAATGTATGGACTCTTATAAATTATGCGACATTAAAGCAAGAAAAAGAAGTGTTTGGGACTTAATCGAAACTATTTTAATTTCGCTTTTCTGAAACTCTTCTAAAATATAATTCATTAAAATATTTTATTGAAACTCTCTATTGTTGTTACTTCCGTAAGTGTTCTGTTGCAATGCAGTTTAAATTTAACTTCAGGACCACATAAAATGTGGAATTGTCAGTTTCTGTCAGATATTAAAACAGTTTTTTAGCCTGTTCTAATTTTATATAAGCTAATATTTCTAGCAATACAAGCTTCCTAAACACAAGTACGTTAGTATTATCGCAATTTTAATTCCATATAGCCAGCATGTATGACATGCTGTGAAATTCAGAAATTAATTATGATGAGTTTTCACATCTGTATTGTTATATTATTGCTGATTATTTGTGTGATATTTCTGAATGCTTAACATATTATTACTTTTACGATTTTAGGTCATAAAATTGTATGCTTGGGAAAATCCTTTTGTGGAGTTAGTAAATGAAATTCGCAAGAAAGAAGTACTATTTATTAGGAAGCAACTGCTGTACTACGCTGGTTCTTCTTTCATCTGGGGATGGGCTCCATTTTTGGTAACTTTTGTAGTTCATGTAGTCACTTTTTGTATGGAATTTAATCACATATTAATATTACCAGCTGTATTTAAAACAACTGTTGGTATTAATTCAAATGTGAATGTAAAGAAAATAGAAGGGGTATAAGACAAAATTTATCACTGCGTACTTATTTGTTTACATCATTTAGAATGATTTATTATTTTTCATTACATAAAAATTTGTTTAGAAGAGTATTATAATTTTTATATCAATTTTTATTCGTAAATTTTCTTTCCTCTTATTTTAAGACTTACATTTTTTTTTTTTAAATTTTGTAACTGTTTATAGTTTTGTGTTTATTATGGATGCCCTTTAAATATGTCTTCATGTCTTTTAAATAAATACCTGTCTAAAGTATACTGCAAAATGTACATCAACAAAAATCCGCGGTTTTTCAGGTAAAGAGTTCTTGTTGATTCCAAATTAAGCTTCCTGTTCTAAATTTTAAAGAATTTTTGGGCTACCTCAAATCCCTTCCGAAACGTGCATTAGAACTGTTTTCTTTGAGTTCTGCAATAACGGAGTAGATGATAAATTCTTATATTGTTTTGCCAAAATGAATATTTATAGACGTGTTTTAAATTTATCATTCTGTTTGAATATTTGGATATAAATGCGAGTTCCCGGTTTCATATCCTGAGCAAGGCAAAATAAACGCATGATATTTACTTCATTTCCTTTAACTGCAAGATAAATTGTACACAGTTTTTACAGTCTTTTTGCAAGAAAAGCGGTCTAAAGAATTCTTGAACTTTTTAACATTATTTGCCTTAAAATTAAAAAAATTTTGTTAAACATGTCCTCTATTTTCACTTCAAAATTCTCCGCCTTAAGGAATTAAAATAACCTTTAGTAATAGCCTAAACTATCCTTTGTAAATTTTGAGCCTGGATATTTAATTCAGCAATGAATGAGAAGAATTACAGTAAATAAATGTGCTACTCTTAGTAAACAGTAGTATTCAAGCGGTTAGAGACTGCTGAATAATTATAGTTCATCCCGGGTTCAATCCCCGCTAAAGGAGTTGCTTGCAGGGTTAGTTTTCGGGTTTTTCCCATGTCTAACATGAATATGAGCCAGTTTTCCTTAGAAGATTCCTCACGAAAACATTCCTTTTCTTAGGCAAATAGGTAGTGTGTGCTTGTTTGCTCTATTCAAATAAATAAACTTGGAAGGCTTAAAAAGAATTTAGCCGGAACTTTTATTTTTACAGAATATATAAAGTGTGTAGCACAGAATAAACAGCGTTTCGAAACAATACACATTATGTACGTATATATAGTAAGCATTTTTGGGGGCTTTCATTGCCTTGTATTGTTTGTTCTATGCACTGTAACACTGAATTAAAATTTCATAAAGTGTAGAACAGCCACTTTAAACTCTTTAAACCGCTTCCAAAGTTCATCAGAAATTGCTGAAGGATAGTCGCAATGTAGTCACTTTGTTTGTCATATAGCAGACACTGTACAATGAATGTCGCTTTGTTTGATCATATACCAGACATTTTCTTTGTAAGATAAATCCTGTGATTTAGGCAGCCGAGGAGGAAGTGAGACACTATTAATGTTAAAGAAGGCTCACGATGTTGCTGCCGATGTATGTAAAGAATAGCATCACCCTTCCGGAAAATTACTCCGCAGAAAATTTGCAAGTACTATGGAATGCTGTTGACGTATTTAACACTCGTTATGGTTACTCGAGGTTTCTCGAAATCTTATGAAGGATGTAATGTTGGTAAATCCAGTAGCACTCCATACATGAATGCTTTTTGTTGGTGCCATATACCGAATAAAAACATAGTTTTTTTAGGCATTTCTCAGCTTGTCGGTGGCGGACACATATGTGACCATCATTTTCGCCCAAACAAAGCCCTGATTCATCAGGGAAGATGCAATGCAAGCACACCTGAGTATAGGTAGTCAAAGGAAATCTGAGAAATGGCCGACCCTTTCATAATCCAGACGATAACAAACTTCCTGTTGGTGATTGATTATTTTAATCTATTATTGTTTTGTTGGCATGTACAATTGTACTTTGCCCGATTCAACAGATGTTAATCCTCTCGACCAACTGTAAATGAACCGGAATACAGTCAAAAAATGTGATTCTACATCCCTCGAACTCGTTTTTCTCAAAATAGAAGAAAATATGTAACAGTAACAATTAATTTATATCCTTGTTCATAAAATAAAAGGTGACTTACCGGGTTACGTCAAACGAAAGCGCAGATGCTTTGAATATGTTGTAACGCCACGCTTATTCATATGTAAGTACTTTTTTTATAAATAACGAATATGAAATTTTCCTAAATAAAAAAATGCGGACCAGAGGATAGTATAACATGGTAGATTTCGTAATTTTTACAAAAATGATTTCTTTAAATTTAAAAATGCCAGAACATGAATCTTTGCGTCATTTGAAACAATTTTGTAACTGGAAGTGTACGTCTACTATCAACGAAAGTAAAGGCCTTGTAAGGACTTTTCTGGACACAGTGTGTATGTGCGTCTACATGTATTAAAATCTTTTCATTTAAAAATGTAAGCATTTAATAAAAGAGTTTTTCTAATTTTAAATTCTTGTTTGGTTTTCAAAAGAAGCTTAAATTTTCATATATTACATTTTCTCCCCTGTAGTATATTTCTGCAGTTTATGTAAAACATTTTCAATATTTATTTTGTGTTTTCGCCTTTTCGAGATTAGTATATACTCTGATCGATGTGTTTCAGATTGTGTGTTCCTGTTTACTTGTTTTCATTACCGGGCAGCCGAACGGGTTAAGTATTAGTCTCGTTTTCGTTACAATCGATGTGGTGAATCATCTTAGATACCCTCTGTTTAGTGTTTCAGAGATTACGTCTGTTGTTGCTCAGGTAAGATAATATATCCTCCTTTGTAGCATATATATGTTATCACCAGAAATATGTAATTGGTAAATAATTAAGAATCAGTGCTTCAGATACCCTGTGAATTTCTTCGGGCCCGTTTAAAGCTGAATAGTTAAAATATTAGCGGACAAATTTGTTTTGAAATTTATTTGAATAATGTAAATTTTATTACAAGTTGAAGCCTCATTTGGTCATTCTTAAAATTAGCAAATTTGTAAAAGTAGCATTTTTTAAAATTGTTGCAGTCTTCCTTTCTTGATCTCCTTTGCGAATGCTTTTCTTAGTAAGAAATTCACAGTAGTTTTATCATTCTAGCAGGATTCTTAGAAATGATATAATTAAACTTAAAATTTATATCAAACTTTGAATTAATTTTACAAATTATTTGCAGGCCTATGCGTCACTGAAACGTTTAAACAGATTTTTTGCTTCCGAAGAATATGATACTGATGCTATTGGTTCTTTACCCGATGATGGTAAATTTGCTGTTTTCTTTTATAATAAATTTCCATAACATTCACTATTAGTGTAAAATATTACTGTGGAATGAAATATTTTTACCGCTTAAATGTAAGCGATGATTTAGTTATGAATGAAAAAGTATTTTTGATATTTATGATTCAGCAGAATATTTTACCAATATGGATTATAAGATGGGCCCCAGAAAATATCCTGATTTTGACCATATAAACCGAGCTCATAAGTTACCTAGTTTATAACTTTTTCCAAGTAACATGAGTGTCTCGTATATAGTGGCGAAAGTTGCAAACATCAGCAGTTGACGCATGATGTGTTATTATTCAAAATAGCATCGGACAAACTAACTCCAGCGCGTAACAGCATGTCATTATGAAATTTCTGGTGAAAGAAGATTAAAAAGTTTACCAAAATTCATTCCGATTATCAAGTATGCTTTGGAAAACAATCTGTGGCAAGTTCATAGCAGTTTTGACGTTTTAAGGGCTTTCAGCGAAGTCGGGAATCCATTCATGATGACCCTTATGAACATTAGCCTAAAAATGTTACTACTGAATCCAAACACAGTGGAGTAGCAGAAAGTTGTGAATTACTGAACGTAAGTACTATTTCTTGCTGCTTTCTGATAAAATTCGAAAGGCTTTCATAAGTAACATGCAGGATTGTCCAATAAAGATATCACTGTGCAACATGGTACAAGATCCCATACTATTGCCATAAACTCTTGCAGTTCTTGAGAAGGCATTACCGTATCTCCAAATTTGGCTAGTGATTTTTCACTTTGGCTCTCTGGAGGAATATTTCGAAGGAAATACATTTTACACGGTTATTCAAGTGATTGACGATTCTCCAGTGGTTCAGTTTACAAAATGCGGACGCTCTTAGCCAGAACAGAAAAATCTGTTGCAGCTGCGTCGAAAAATAGTACAGTTAATTTAAAATTTATCAGGCCTAGTTTGCCAGAAATTGAATCATCATGATATTAACAGGATGCTCTATTTATTTTTGTGGTAGATGTCATAATTTTAAAGCTTTCCTTAAACTTAGTTTATAGTCTATTAATTAGCGTCATGTTTTCTGAGTTCTCTGACTGCTTTAATATTTTCTTTTATTCATGTTTTGGTTTCAGTGCATAATTTGGAAGACAGATTTGATTTTAAGTACATGTGTATAGTATGGAATTTATTTTCTGTTTTATGCTTGATTCATGTTCTGTCCAAAGGTTCCGTCATTTCAATACGAAATTCTTTGCATATTATAGGACATGCTATTACCATTAAGAATGCACGCTTGACATGGGATAAACCTACAGAGGTCTTGTTGCAGAACATACATATGAATATCCCCAAAGGCTCACTCGTCGCTATAATAGGCACTGTGGGGTCTGGTAAATCTTCGTTATTATCAAGCATTTTGGGAGACATGAAAATTTTATCCGGAAGTATAGATTATGAGGTAAGTCATTTGTAAATATTGTCATTAATATAGTTCATAAATAGTCCATTTCTTTATTCTTGTTCTGGATTTTAATGCTA